GTAAGAACAACTGGATCTTGAGTCGTTGAGAACAAGTGTTTTTTTTTTAGGAAGCTCCCTAATTTGCATGGAGAAAAGCTCAAGTGAGATACACAACTGTATAATTACTACATGCAAGTTTTGTATAGCTGGCCTTTAATTTTTTGTTTGTTTGGCCAGCGCTAGCTAAGAACTTTCCAGAGGTAAATGAATGGCTTGGAGTATCAGATTGATACAAACTTTATGGATCTTGTCATACTTTACCAAAGTTCTACTAATGGCAATGATTTTTTTCGCAAGAGCTGTCTGTACTTCGAGACTACATACTTAGGGGTGAGGAAATTTAGCAATTCTAGGAATACGCCTGCAGAATTATAAATGCTGAGAATTTGCATAGACTGAAAAACATGTACAGTATGTTCTACGCTAAACAAATCTAAGTTTGATATCAAACTTCTCTAGCAGGAAGCATAACAATCAGACAAATAGGACGAAAATGAAAAGGTTATGATTTTTTGGAAGTTGCAGTTCTCTATACAACTGTAGGTATGGGCTCTTCAAATTGGCCGAATTGCTAATGTCTCTCTGATGAAGTGGTGTTCATCTTTCACATTTGTTCCAACACATGGAATGACTCAAAATTCAATTTGTTTTAAATGTTTGACTGATCAGGATGGTCTTTTCTTTTTAGAGGAACTGTAATAATATACTGTCTAAAAGAGTTTGAGTATAGAGTGGTGAAGTGTGAGGTCATCAAAAATCTATTTTGGGAATTTTTTAATTTTTTCTTCATTTTTGAAAGAGCATCAAAAATAATGTCCAAATATCGAAACTCGACAACCAATTGAATATGTTAAGTATTGGCTGAGATATGACCATCTGAATAAATAGATTTCCTATAGGAACTCAGTGTTATTTTGCTCTGGTTCATAACATAAAACTTAAAAAACCAAAATCAATTTGGTGCAAAAATATAGGCAACTATAGTAATTTCGAGGAAAAAAAGGTGGATCACAGGCTTCTACAATCATGTACAGTGTAGATGACCTTTAAAGGTACAATGTTCCTTTGCAGCCAACATCAAATTCTTTAGAACTTTGCATTAATTATTAATATGTCATGTCCTATCTATGAAATGTAATCGTTAGCAGTTTCCTAATATTCAAATTATGCAAGGAAACCCGTTTATTTGCTAGCCTTCACTGTCAGACACTATTGAGTGACTGACTGGCTTTTCTTCTTCTACATAAAATGAGTTGTAAAGGGTACATGAGCATTTGTCTACATCAATAACCCACTTCTTATAATGGCCAAAATTAAACTGATTGAATCTTTGTGCAGCATAAAACTTACGACCATTCGGTACAATGGTCTGAAAATCAAACTATTACTTACTGGCTCTATAGCTCTTAAGTCGATTCAACAACCAATAGTCGTTATTTTCCCACTTAAAGACATTTTCAAGCCCCCTTTTTTAAGTGAAGTTCTAAATTACTTTTATCTTTCAAATGCCGTTTGAATTTAACCTTTTAATTTTTGGTGTGCAAATGGGACATAGCACCTTTAATATCAATATTGCTGAACAAGTCTTCATTATTTGCAGCACATTGTACTAGTACTTGTACATTCTTGTGGTCTTGAGTTGTGTGCTTGATGGGGAGTGGAGTGTTGATAGTAGAGAAAGCTATTAATATCACATTTGATAGGAGAGTAACTCTTCATGTGGTCTTTGAATTAAGATGGCCTACAAGTTAAGTTCTGCTACAGACCAAAAATAAAAATTAAGTCAAGAAATGTCTCAAAATGTCTCAAAATATCTCACTGCCATTGCAATGTCACATGAATAAATCTTGAAATGCTGTCTTTTTCTAACTGAAATATGACAAGAAATATTAAAAATTAATAATGGAACAAATTTGATTGCCATTGTAGTGCCAGATACTGTAGGCTCACCCATCTTGTATGCAGTGCATTTCTTTGTAATTTAATTAGGCAAGATTTACTCAATATGTTATCATTTTGATGATTCCAAAACCTTCCAAATCACAAGTTCTTATGACCTAAATGTAGGCCCATTTACACAGCTGAAACAACATTTTGAAAATAAAATAAAAATTGCGAAATTTCTGCCGGTGTTTGAAAGAAACACAACCCAGAAGTGGATTTCATTGATTTCTGTTTTTTTGTTGTGAAAGGCATTGTTAATTTGTTTTTCATAGACATTTATAATTAGGGAGACGATCACACAAAAGAGATAGAGAGAGATAGAGAGAAAGAGAGAGAGAGAGAGAGAGAAAGAGCGAGCAAGAGAGCAAGAGATAGAGAGAGAGAGAGAGAGAGAGAGAGAGCAAGAGATAGAGAGAGAGCAAGAGATAGAGAGAGAGAGAGAGAAAGAGAGAGGGAGCAAGAGAGAGAGAGAGAGAGAGAGAGAGAGGGAGAGGGAGCAAGAGAAAGAGATTATCAAGAGCAGAAAAGAGAAAGAGAGAGTCAGGATGAATCATACTTATGATTGACAGTTTTATTGTTAGAATTTATATTTGCACATACCAGCAACTAGGGTGTCTTTGTGCACTTTTCATGACCCAGGTAGCTACACAGTCAATGCCATACAATACCGTTACAATCCAAGGATCTACTCATTTCTAAGCACCATGCATATCTATTATGAAGTGATCATGATTACTGTCATATTAAATATCATACATAAAGTGCATAATACTGCTTTGTTGACATGTAATATACATACATTTGTGTATGTGTAGGTCAAACTAATACTAACCTGGGGGGTGTTTCATACAGCTAGCTGTTTGTAAAGTTATGCATGTCTTTACGAATGACTTACATATGAACAGCCAAATGGGATGCCCAAAGTTTTTCCTCACATTTTAACAAAGTGTGACTACATTTCCAATAATCTCAATTAAATTGTAGCCAAAACTACACTTTGCATTAAAATGTTTTATTAATGATGATAAGGTTAATCTATATCTGCATATTTCAACTTTAGCTCATGCAATTAAAAGGATTTGAGAATCATATTTAGCTCTTCATATTCAAGTCGTTCGTAAAGTCATGCATAACTTTACGAACAGCTTTATGAAACACCCCCCGGGTCATAATAATTAACATATGTAATTTGACAAAGAGAAACATATAAGGTCAAGTTCAAGTTTTATTTTCCACATTCCATTGAAAACATACCATTAAAAACAATAATGATATGAACAATAGCATACCTGTACATATATATTAACAATACATTAGAGTAGAACAAATAGGAACTGCATACCGTAGGCCATTTGCCTTTCGAGGCAGAACCTTAAAAGTGGACAATATACAAGCACAGAATATAACAGAGTAAAGTCAAACAGAATATATAAACAAACACCCTAAGTGTAACAAACATTATAAAAAAGGAATAAGTCGACCAATAGTCATGACAGTAGGAGCTAATAATATATTTTCTATGGTTTCTTTTAAAAGAGTTAAGTGATGGACAAGAATTAAGTTGAACAGAAAGGGAATTCCAAAGCTTACGCCCAGTGTATTTCACAGTGGTCCTTGAGATATTTGTAATACTTGATACATTTCTGTGAAGCCCACCCCCCCCCCACCCCAAAAAAATTGGGTTTAAAGATATAGGGGCAGAATATTATTAACTGACACCTGTTTTCTCCATCCTCTACATTTATGGTACAAGCTTTTAAAAGTGCTCCAGTCAAATGGCAAGTAGAGAAAAATAGGAGATAAAGGGCTCCCTCAATGGCTGGACACTCATTACATCACTGTATTTAAAAACACTTTGGCCCGAATTCACAAAGCAAGGTTTGAGCTCAGATCAAGGTTTGAGCTCAAACCTCCTTTTGTTTCGCCAAACCTCCTTTTGTTCTTTACATCTTTACAAACCAGGTTTGTAAAAAACGCGTAAAACGCGTCATATGACGTACAAAAACCAAGGTTTGTCGACAAACCTCCTTTGTGAATTCGGGCCTTTGAGTTTGTGTATAGCTCAATGGAATTGTTCTGTTAAGTTATGATAACTTTTGATAACCCATTCATTTAAAAAAATGTACGTGTACATGTATGTATCTGAAGTTATCTTTTCTTTTATTATGTAGAATTTCATTACTTTCAGCCATGAAATTTGTATTTGCGTATTCGGGCGTACGCATTACCAGCTTTGCTTATCAGGATTTGCACCTTCTTCCTAATACAATTTCTTTAAATATATATTTATGTTCCTATGTATAAATTGTAATGTTTGAACAGATGTCAAATATATTTTTGTATTTCTTTATTTATTCATTTATTCATGTTTTCTTTATAAAAAGCAAGGTAGTCCCATTCAAGCCGCAAGGCCTGCTTTACAAGGGAGCCCTGCTGTACACAAACAAATTATATTTCAAATATCTTACAATACACATACAAATACACAAAATATACAAAATATACAATAATAATAAAAAAAAACATAATATAAAAAAACTATAAAACATTTTATACAAATAGGAAATTAAATGAAAATGGAAGAGGAGAGAGAGAGTAAACGAAAGAGAGAGAGAGGGTGGTAGCAATACTTCATGTGAGCGATCGCAAAATCAACTCACTTGATTTTCACGGACATTACGTTTAAATAAATGGGCAGTGAGGTGGAACATATTGTCAAATTGAATGGAGAAAATAAATGTTCATTTGAATTGAATTGGATTGAATTGAATGTACTTTCATTATGTTGTTCAAAATGAGTACCTCAATGTATAAAAGTTATGTTGTTTTTATATTGATCTTTTGAAAGTGGAAAATAAAGTTCAAGTTCAAGAATTCATACATACATACAATGTACATATTGATACTGATATAGCGCCTTTTAATACATAAACAGGCTCAAAGCGCTATACATTAGTAAATAAAACAATAATTATTATGCTCTCCAAGTGCATACACTGTACATTTTGATTACAATTGCACTTTTTCTTTCACCTCCAGGCCAGTCACCACCCAGGCCAGTCACCTCCAGGCCAGTCACCACTCTTCCAGTCAGGATGCAGCAGTCAAGCAGTGAGGAGGCAGCGGAGATAAAGCATCGACCAGCAGGGACACGTACCGTACCTGCTAGCGTCCTGAAGGCAGGCACAGAGTCAGTCGGGAACCTCACACCGGAGGAAGCTGAAGAGCTACAGGTCCAGCTAGAGAAAGACAAGAGAGCTGTTTATCAGTAAGTGAAAACTGTTTTAGTTCCCTTTGATACATCTTTGCTGGTTTTATGAACTGAATCTCGACAGTTTCCATTCAATTGCACTCTGGTTCCTCAACAATATATTCAAAATCCATCTAAACAGACTTTGAGGGGTCAGTGACACGAAGATAACTCCATTTTGAGAAAAAGTGGTTTATGTATCACTGAGCACTTGGGCCCGAAGTTAAGTCTATGTTTCTACTAGCCATTGACTTCAGTGGGGTGTTGGGTAGATTACTGAGGGAAGAAGTCTTCTTCCCTCAGTAATATAATATGACTGACATGAGCGCTATATAAGAACCCATTATTATTATTATTATTTATCTATTTTATGAGTTTTCTGTTTCTACTTCATATTCTGTGATTTCGTGAGCACTATGGTACTTTTTGTTTTTAGATAATCATTATTATTAATTTAATATTATTATTATCTTCCCAACCCCTTCCAGTCTCTTTGTTTCCCACTCTTTGCTTCAAATTTGAATTGTTATTCCTGTGTTTCTGTCATTTTGAGTTTCAAATTTAAGTTTGAAGTACATTGTCAGTTTCCATTTACTCATGCAGTTCATCTCTGTTGTCCTCCGTTTCCTCCAGTAGAGAGAGTAAATCAGAGTGGAATCTATACAAATACTGTTGAGGCTTTAAACCAATTTACATTACTATCAGGACTGTACTTGCAAAGTAAATTGTGCAATATCTGCATGAACTAATCTGTCATTCATTGCAACAGTACATATACATGTAGGTTGGATTCAATGTACGGTAGTTCTCAGTAGAACTGAAGAAAAAGCAACTACCGGTACCCTTGGATCTTTAAAGGCAATATTTACCGTAACAATATTAAATCTGAGATGCATGGCACTAGGTGTTATCAGTGTTTTTGATGTGGTGTAATATTGAAGCCCTAAAAAAAATAGTGCTTCAAAATGATCATAAAGTGCCTCAAAAAAGTAAAAATCTTTGAGTGACCGGAACATACCGGTACCGTAAATCTCCATGTATAAGGCGCACCCCTATTTTTTTTGGGGGAAAAAAAAAAATTGTTATAGAAAAAAAAATTGAGGAATTATTATTATAAACTACATATTGAGATCTATTAGAAAGATTACTTTCAAACCAAGGATGACAGACAAATTTGAGTGTTGTTGTAGTTTCCGAGTGGTGAGTCAACACACTGATTACTGAGCTGGGAGACATTGCCAGCCATAGCGCCATAAATCGAAACTAAAAAAAAAAAAAAAAAAAAAAATTGTTATAGAAAAAAAAAATTGAGGAATTATTATTATAAACTACATATTGAGATCTATTACAAAAATTACTTTCAAACCAAGATGACAGACAAATTTGAGTGTTGTTGTAGTTTCCGAGTGGTGAGTCAACACACTGATTACTGAGCTGGGAGACATTGCCAGCCATAGTGCCATAAATCAAAACTAAAAAAAAAAAAAAAAAAAAATTCTGTACCTGTGTATAAGATGCACCCCCGACTTTCAAATTTTTTCGGTGGCAAAAAAGTGCGCCTTATACATGGAGATTTACGGTACACATTTCCCCCCAAAATAGACTGTAGTGTTATAAAAACCGTTAGGAAAATGAAAAATGAAATTTTAATTTCCATCCATAAATATCTTGATAATGAGACAGGCGATCGGCTTGTAAAAGTCATGGGATTCCTGACGGACCTAAAGGTTTATAATTATGATTGCATCATGAGCTAAATCAAAGATTTTGTTTCAGAATCTGAGGCAATGTTACCGATCAAGTCACTTTAACAAAATCATTTCTCGTTCCCCCTAGACACCCACTGTTCCCACTGATGGCGTTGTTATTTGAGAAGTGTGAACAGGCCACTCAGTCACCTGACCCACCCACATCAGCAAGCTTCGATGTCGACATTGAGGAGTTTGTCAACAGACTGAAGAGAGAGGGCAGTACATTCTTCATTGAAGATACAGAGATTGATACATTAGTGAGTATGCGTGTTGATCTGGGGCCTGTTTCATAAAACTGGTTATCAATAACAAATACTTAATTTCTATGACAAATCTGCTCTCAGGGAATCAGATGCATGCATTTCAGTAGCTTATAACAGTAGCTTGTAACTTGTTTTTGACATCAAGTTTTATGAAACAGGGCCCGGATGAAACTTTTGTTGGTCGTGATTGGCCATTGGCACATATTCTGGTATGCCATAAATACCATAAATACCACAAATACAAACCTTAGGCATTATTTAACTACATGTACATTGTATAGTAAAAAGAAAGCTATTACAGTGTATAATCAAGTTCTGCTCATAGGGGGCTATATGGTATAGCCCTTTTATCACCTGCAATTTTTTATGTGTGAAGAGATAGATTAATTTGTGAGATGGTCAGGTTATACAGCAGGCTTGTGGTTGCACCATGTGAGAGGGGGGGGGGGGAGAATTGGGGAGTCCTGAAAAGGACTCTTGGTAATCTTAAATGCTTTCTTTCTTGAGTGTGTGGCCAGGTTATGTGTGCACTTTTAAATAATCTTTTTTTACAGTTAAAGACGTGTGTTCTGCTTGTATGCCAGGACATGAATAGAAGAATGCATGCAAGGAGTTCAGTCATGTATTTATTTTCTTATCTCTGTTTCTTTTCTTCTTTTTAAAACATATACAGATGATCAAAGCAATCCAAGTACTACGAATACACCTTTTGGAACTAGAGAAGGTCAATGAACTTTGTAAAGATTTCTGCCATAGATATATCACTTGCCTCAAGAGCAAGATGCACAGTGAAAATCTATTGAGAGATGAACGGTAAGTTCATTCAGAGTTTATTCAATGTTTATTCATAGTGGATAAGAGTGAGAGAGAGAGAGAGAGAGAGAGAGAGACAGAGAGAGAAAGAGAGAGAGGGAGGGAGAGGGAGAGGGAGAGAGAGGAGAGAGAGAGAGAGAGGGGTGGGGGGGGGGGGGGGGGAGAGCAAGATGCAATCTATTGAGAGATGAACGGTAAGTTCTTATAGAGAGAGAGAGAGACAGACAGAGAGAGAGAGAAAAAGAGAGAGGAGAGAAGAGAGAGGGAGAGAGAGAGAGAGAGAGAGAAAGGGAGGGGGAGGGGGGGGGGGGGGGGGAGGGAGAGGAGAGAGGGGGAGCAAGATGCATAGTGAAAATCTATTGAGAGATGAACGGTAAGTTCATTCAGTGTTTATTTAATGTTTATTCATGGTGGATAAGAGTGAGAGAGAGACAGAGAGAGAGACACAGAGAGAGATGGAGGGGGAGATGGAGGGGGAGGGCGAGAGAGAGAGAGAGAGAGAGAGAGAGAGAGAGGAAGGGGGGGGGGGAGGGAGAGAGAGAGAGGAGAGGGAGAGAGCAAGATGCACAGTGAAAATCTATTGAGAGATGAACAGTAAGTTCATTTAGAGTTTTTTCATGGTGGATAAGAGTTATAGAGTGAGAGAGTTATAGAGAGAGAGAGGAGAGAGACAGAGGAAGAGAAAGAAAGAGAGAGAGAGAGAGAGAGGGGGGGGGGGGAGAGCAAGGTGCACAGTGAAAATCTATTGAGAGATGAACGGTAAGTTCATTCAGAGTTTATTCATGGTGGATAAGAGTTATAGAGAGAGAGAGTTATAGAGAGAGAGAGAGGAGAGAGACAGAGAAAGAGAAAGAAAGAGAGAGAGAGGGGGGGGGGGGGGGGAGAGCAAGGTGCACAGTGAAAATATATTGAGAGATGAACAGTAAGTTCATTCAGAGTTTATTCAGGGTGGATAAGAGTTAGAGAGAGAGAGAGAGAGGGGAGAAGAGAGGAGAGGAGAGAGGTAGAGCAAGATGCAATCTATTGAGAGATTATTTAGCGTATATTTATGGTGAATGAGATTTAGAGAGAGAGAGAGAGAGAGACAGAGATGCACAGTGAAAATCTTTTGGGAGATGAAAGGTAAGTTCATTCAGAGTTTATTCAGCGTTAATTCATGGTGGATGAGAGAGGAGAGAGACAGAGAGGAAGATGCACACTAAGAATCTATTATGACATGAAAGGTAACTAAATCAAGACAAAGTGGTAAAGTGGAGTGATAAAGGAGAGAGTGAAAGAAAGGGAGAGACAGAGAGAGATGGTGAGATTGAGAGAGGAAAAAAGAGAAGGATGGGAGGAAGAAGGGAATGAAAAGAAATTTAAGAAGAAAAATGGAAGAGGGAAAGGAAAGAGAAATGGAAGAGGGAAAAGAGAGAGTAAAGAAAGAGGTATGAGAAAAAAGAAGATAGAGCTAGGGTGGAGATCAAAACAGATAAGAAGGAGAAAGGAGAGGGAATAGAGAGAAAAAAGTAGAAGAGAGAAGAGAGACAGAGAGAGGTGGGGGGGGGGAGAGGGTGGAGATAAGGAAAGGGAGACAGAATTTTAAAATGGTACATGGTCAGAGAGAAAATCTAATCAATCGATTTTAGCCAGAAAAACAAGTACAGAGATAGTTTGCATAGTGGAGATGACTCAATCATTTAATACACTTCTGAATAAGGAAACGTGTGCATCTTGTAGTCATATTGTTATTGTTGTTATACAACTATAAGTTATAGGGGGCTGCAATCTACAAGCCTAGCTTTTCAGCAATCCCCTCCATGTTCAACCTGTTTTATATGCCTGTTGTACACTTGACCAAGTTTCAAGTTTCATTGTTTTACTATGTACAATGTAATCCCATGTAATTTATTTTATTTTGTTGGAAATAAAATGAAACAAATATTGTGTTCATGAGCATACTGTAAATGAAGACTAACATGTATCCTATATTATATGTCTTTGATTCTGTAGGGGAGAGTCCGCTCAGTTCGACAGTCAGTACTTAACCAATGGAGATCTTCTAGATCTAGAACCACCACCTAGCGAACATAATCAGGTATGTATACATTCATTGACAGTCAGTACTTAACCAATGGAGATCTTCTAGATCTAGAACCACCACCCAGTGAACATAATCAGGTATGTATACATTCATTGACAGTCAGTACTTAACCAATGGAGATCTTCTAGATCTAGAACCACCACCTAGCGAACATAATCAGGTATGTATACATTCATTGACAGTCAGTACTTAACCAATGGAGATCTTCTAGATCTAGAACCACCACCCATTGAACATAATCAGGTATGTATACATTCATTGACAGTCAGTACTTAACCAATGGAGATCTTCTAGATCTAGAACCACCACCTAGCGAACATAATCAGGTATGTATACATTCCATCATACACCATTTTAAAGGTGATGCAAAGTTTTGGGAAATTTTGAACATTGGATTGATAGTAATTCTTTACGATTTATATATATTTGGTTGCCCCTGAGGATGTATTAGTCCCTAAAACACTTCTGCTTTCGAGAAATTGAATAATCAAACATTTACCGGTGCTCCCGGTCAATTTCAAATATTTCAATCAGAATATGCAATTCTGATATATAATTTTTCAAACAGGAATATCAAAGTGGTCGATTGTAGTCGAGAAACATTGTTTTAAAGCTAAATTAGTATCAGTCTCTAGAGGGAGCTATACAACTTTTACTATTTCATCACTTTAGACTCAATTTCAACCGCGACAACGTTCATATTTAATAATCGCTTCCAATGTTTGTGATATGTTCATTTGAACCAAATTCATGACACCATACCAAAACTTTGTATTACCTTTAAAGGTGATGGCATTTAGCATCGTCTATACCTGCAGTGATCTACCTTATAATAACCTGTCGTGGAAATATCAGTTATATGTCATTTACAATTATCATATGCACTGCCATGTTGACCTTTTTTTCTTCTTCTTCTTTTTAGATCAGCCAAAACCATCCCACCTCAACACCAAACAGTCAAGCTGTGATACTACAACATGGAGCACATTCACAAGCAAACCAAGTAAGTTATCTCATCCATCAAATCAGCTTTAATTAACATAAGCAAAAGGGGACCATGGGGGACCAATGGTCACGATTAGGCATTGTTTGCTCTATAGAGGGCGCAAGTAGCTATTAGTAGTGCAGTGGGGCTTTAATATACCATAACAAAATGAAGTGGTAAAGATGCATCAAGAATTCAAAATAAATAACTGTTGATAATCATTATTTTTGTGCACAGATGTGGAACCATATCATTAGAAGAGAGAATAATAACAATAGCTTATCTTGCCCACCAAAAGAAGAACAATAACAATTGCTTCTTATAGCACTCAGGGGCTCTTAGACATTATTTCCCTGTTTATTGCTGAGCCACCAAAGCATCTAGTGCTGAAGCATATAACTTATTCATTTACATCTGAATAGGGGCTTGTAAATTTAGATTGTCTTGCCAAGGGATGTTAGCGCAGGGCTGGGATTTGAACCTCGTACCTAGTGATCCACAAGTCAAGTGACTTATCCACTAGACCGCAACTCCTCTACATAGATCTACATGTAGTAAATTAAAATGCCTCTACTCTTTTGAAGAATTCAAAATAAATAACTGTTGAAAATCATTATTTTTGTGCAGCGATGTGGAACCATATCAGCAGAAGAATAATATGTTATATTCCACATACCGGTACTAAGAATCTTGCTCTACGATTCGTCAAAAGTAAATCATGTGATGAAAGATAGTTTGATGGGAGAAGAAAAGTTTGTAGCAATCATGTGTAGATAGTAGTACTATTTACACAGTGCAAGTGTGCAACGCACTTCATTGAAGATTTTATACTTTGTGTATATGCACGTATGTAAGTACTGCATGCACTGTACGTATCGTACACCGTTTGCTAGCTGTTAATTTATGACTTGTTGCTCTAAAATGATGGAAGAAGTGAAATGTTTCCGATGTGAAACATAAAGCATATAATCACCTTTTGGTTTCAGGCGATGACAAACTATCACTTCCTCGGCGATCTGAATGTAAACACTATCTTTCCTCAGCTTTGCTTTGGAATGATAGCTACCTCCAGATCTCCTCGGAAGTGATAGTTTGTCCCATCACCTTTACCAACGGTAATTATATGCTTAATATTTCTATATTATTTATGTTTGTCTATGACCCAGTATCAGGCAGCAACAGTAGTCAACTCTGCAGGTCAGGTCGTCTACACACCGGTCTTACCACAGGGTGTGGTCACACCACAGGGAATCTTAACTCAAGTAAGTTTACAGTAGTGCAGTCAAACCTGCTTCAGTGACCACTTGTATATAAAGACCACCTGTCTACAAAGACCACATTTTTTGTTTCCCTTGAAAATATTTTCTCATTGAAACATGTACTAAAGGAACCTGTCTACAAAGACCACATTTTGTGTTTCCCTTGGGCGGTCACTATAGACAGGTTCGGGTGTAGTAGCAGCAGATGTATGACAATGGAAAACATTTTCCCTTTATGTCATGGGACTTTGACATATTATTCTAGGTGATGGTATTCTCCTAGTAATTTTGATATCCAGCTATTTAGCATTACTACTAACTAGTGATCTTTGACTAAGAAGAAAGAGAAAACCTACAGAGGTGTAGCTTTTCCATTAACATGTTCCCTGTATACCAGAACCATTACAGGTATCAAAGTATTAAAATAACCACGATGTTTGTGTATTTCATGGATCATTGACGAATGATGTAGATTCTAGAAATTTAAAGTGATAAAGTAATTTAGTATCATGTAAAGCATGGATACTGCAATGGCCCGATAATTTGGGTGAGATGTCCATTGTAGTATTAGCATCATGCATCCTTAAGTAGATTAGGGGGATCCCCTATACCCTTCCCTGGGCTAGTAGCGGCTATCCAATACCACTAAAGGCTTGTTCAGATAGGATGCGGCAACACCGGGACGTTTTCATGATGAGACAAAGTGCAGTAGACTTCACATTTGTGAATGTTATAAGACAGAGAGAGCTCAGTGACTACTTGCAAGTCCTTTGTTGCCCGCAGTTGCCATTCAATTTTAAACATGGGAAGAAAAAATGCTGGGGCTCTTTTGCGGCGGTTGACCGCACTTTATCTGAACAAGCGTTAAGGCAACCCTGGAGGGCGTTTCACAAAGCCTTTTTTCAATGACAAATGACAAAAATCAGTGACAAATCTGCTGATAACCAATCAGAAGTTAGGATTTCAGTAGCTTATAACATAAACTGTTATTTGGCACTGATGACAAGTTTTGTGAAACGCCCCCCTGGTGTTTTTCTTCTTGTAGTCCATTCCAGGCAACAATGCCCACCACCACCACCACCACCACCACAAGAAGAAGTCTGACCCTCCTCCACCACATCAGCTGCAACAACACGTGGTTCCCATCATTCATGGTTCTACCCCCCTCTCACAGATTGGTATCTCCCACCAGGGTCAAAGTTCAGCAGGTCAGCAGCAAGCTCATAACATGCTCTCCTCTCTCAACCAGGGGGATCTCAGGGTTGCCATGGCAGACGCAGCGGAGGTCAATGACCTGCTTAACAAGAGGAAACCAAAACGAGGGGTTCTACCCAAGCATGCAACTACTGTCATGAGGTCGTGGCTCTTTCAACACATAGTGGTAAGCCCATGTTCATTCATTTTCAATCTCACTTGCACATTATTTGATAAGCCCCTCGCCTCAATAAAAACAAGAAAAACCACCTCCCCTCCAAAACAAAGCTTTGCAGCAAAATAAAGAATAAGGGTGCCTTTCTCGAAATTGGACTAACTCTAGTCCATGGTTTAATCCACTGACTAAGTATGGAATGCCAAGTGACCATATGAATATATTTTTGAATAATTTGATATGTCCCTAAATTACCATGATAACATAATTATATCATAGTTTTATTGTTTTATATTTATTATGTTATTGCATTTTATTTTAATTTAGTGACAGATTAAATTATTCAAAAAACATATTCATATAGACACTTGGCATTCCATGCTTAGTCGGTGGATTAAACCATGGACTATAGTTAGTCTGCTTTCGAGAGAACCACCCTAAGAGATCCCACCGCTGCCACTAGAAAGTATAGTTCAAGAAAAAACATAAAAATCACATTGTAGATTGTTAGCCAACCCAGGGTCAGTGTTTATTTTTAACACTTGAGTGAAATCAATATTTTACTTAGCATTGAGCTTAAAGGTAAAGACTAGTTTTGGAAATGCCCCCCTCTCAAAAAATGAAATGGAAACTCTTATTACCAATCATGTGAAAGAATATGTTTTGACTAATATGTGATCATACACATTTTGCTGAGAAAACCGCCTACTAATTGATATATTTGGTAGATTATTATATCTATTTGGACCTAATAGATATAACGCACGTGTCGCGCACATGTCGCGTAGTCCCATGTACATCTTTCTTTGTACAGTGCTTGTAAATTTACCAAGACTGGGCCAAATTTCTTATCATTTTGATGATTCCAGAACCTTGCAGTACACACCAATACTGATATGCTAGATGATCAAGCTTTCTTATCCATTCCACAACGTTTCTTTCACAATGCAATCGCATGACCATAACTGGTCTTTATCTTTAAGGGTTTAATTCTTATTTAGATCACATTTTAAAGTATTCTACTTTAGGATGCCAACCTTCCCACTAGCTATACCAATAAAAATGGGTATTGGGCATGTTGCATTGTGCACTTACATGTAAGTAATCCAGGCTTAGCTCAATGACCTGTATGGGAATGGGAAAAATACTTTCATTAGTTTGGTAACAAGATTCCCTAAACTTTGGATAGAATACTTTGTCAACTCAACTAAGTACCATTATTTTATGTAATCCAAATTCTGATTAAATGCTCCCCCCTCAAAAAAAAAAAAAAAAAAAAAAATAATATTGAATTCATTCTGACCCAAATGTCCATTTTCTTCTTCCACTGTTGGAGTCGGAGATCAGCAGCAGTTTGCCACATTAGTGGGTTGAATTGTCGTTAGATTTGTCAAATATGTGTGGACTAAGTCCTGAGATATTGGTGCGTGTACATGTACATCTCTGTGATATTGCAGTGTGAATAACTTGTGATATTTTGTGTCTTTCAGCATCCGTACCCTAGTGAAGATGAGAAGAGAATGATAGCAGCTCAGACCAATCTCACAATGTTACAAGTCAATAACTGGTAAGTAGTTAGTCAATGACTAATAAACAGTTAGTAAGTTCTTAGCAGTAAGCCTGTTTGAAGAGAATGATAGCAGCTCAGACCAATCTCACAATGTTACAAGTCAATAACTGGTAAGTAGTTAGTCAATGACTAATAAACAGTTAGTAAGTTCTTAGCAGTAAGCCTGTTTGAAGAGAATGATAGCAGCTCAGACCAATCTCACAATGTTACAAATCAATAACTGGTAAGTAGTTAGTCAATGACTAATAAACAGTTAGTAAGTTCTTAGCAGTAAGCCTGTTTGAAGAGAATGATAGCAGCTCAGACCAATCTCACAATGTTACAAGTCAATAACTGGTAAGTAGTTAGTCAATAACTAGTGAGCAGTTAGTCAGTAAGTTCTTAGCAGTAAGCCTGTTTGTAGAGAATGATAGCAGCTCAGACCAATCTCACAATGTAAAAAGTCAATAACTGGTAAGTATTTAGTCAATAACTAATGAACAGTTAGTCACTAAGTTATTAACAGTAAGTGTGTGTGTGCAGAGAATGATAGCAGCTCAGACCAATCTCACAATGTAAAAAGTCAATAACTGGTAAGTAGTTAGTCAATAATTAATGAACAGTTAGTCAGTAAGTGGTTAACGATACAATAATAAAGAGTGGACAGGAACTCAATAACTATTAATCAGTTAGTAAGCAGAACAAGAAGTTTGTTACTATTTATCAGATACATAGTAAACAATTATGTATGTAGCATCTACTTTACAATTGAAGGAAATGAATGAATATGTAATCTAGGAGTGAAGAAGGGGTTAGCAGTTAATGAATACATTAATACACCAGTTTACGGTTACATCAGTGCGCATGCACAGACAGGCTGACCCCGGGTCATTGGCTTTGAAACAAAGCCAATGACCTGAGGTCAGTGGTATTTATGCGTAAATTAAGATTGCACCAATGCAAATGATGATGTGCGCGCACAACGCAGTGCGCAGGCAGTGATGTCATCATAATTTGCATGGGTGCAATCTTAATTTACACATAAATCCTTGTTTACTCGTCAATTGAAATGGCGCCCCTAACCGTAAACTGGTGTATTGCTGCAGTTTTCCATTCTTACAACCAACAGTTGAAACTGATATATTTGATATCATGATAATACTTAAAGAGAAGGTTGAGTTCTGGGAAGAGGTGAACAATAATTTGAGAGTGTTATCATTGTATTATGCAAGTGTAGAAGAACATCAGAGAAAAAATATGTTCTCTGAAAAGCATGGCTCTTCAAATGCCTTAATATTCTAAATATGGCATGTAACATCATACAAATCGGGACAGATTTTTATGCCACATGTTCGTATAGTCCCATATACATCTTTCTGTATACAGGGCTTGTAACTTTACCTAGACTGGGCCAAATTTCTTATTATTTTGATGATTCCTGAACCTTGCAGTACACACCAATTCTTATATGCTAGATGATCAACCTTTTCTGATCGATTCCACAATGTTTCTTTCACAATACAATCGCATGACCAGAACTCAACTTTATCTATAAGACATGACAGCTAATTCACAGAAAGCATATTTCATGTACTTTGAAATTAATTTATCTGCTCAGGTTTATCAATGCAAGGCGGCGGATCTTACAACCCATGTTGGATGCAAGTAACCCTGAGGCAGCTACTAAGAACAAGAAACCCAAGAGTCAGAACAGACCATCTACACAGAGATTCTGGCCTCAGTCTCTAGCTCAGCTTGGTCAGACGACGACCATTACACAGGCTACAGCAGGTGGGACTAGCTCACTCGACAGGAGAAATAGTAAGTCAAAAAATTATCTCCAACAGGATGCGGGTATCCACTTGTGAAAAAAACAGTTACCTAAAATGCAACATTTCCATGTAAAAGTCTAATTTGTTTTTGATTCATAATGTTTTTGATCCTTCATAATGTTTTTGATCACTTAGCTTGAGAAAGTCCACAGGAGTGGATGAATGCTTGCATAACAAATTTAAGGTTGGTAGAAGCTTAATAAAAACTACATGTTATTATTATCCCGAACTGATGAAAGTTTTCTGTATCCAAGGTATTTCATTCTACGAGCAAGTCTCATATAAATCATGCTACTTTAGATAAGAGACAGGCGACATTTCAAAATACATTTCTTATCTATCATTCTCACCTCTACAGTGGACGACGAGGCCTCTGCTGCTTTGGACAGTGTAAGACACCTCTCCTCGGACAGCATGTCACCGATGCTCGGTGTTAGGCAACGATCTCCATCGTCAGTCTCCTCTCTCGATAACCTCGGAGCAAGTGGTGCAGACAGTCTCCACGACAATGATGACGATGATGATGATCTCTCAACCAATTTAGAACTTGGTAGTGATTCTGGGATGGTTGACTGACAGCGTCTTGAATTGCATTGTCGGAGCTAGCTGGACTCTGTAGCAGGGATTAAAGACATGGAAAGACGACCAAGAAGCCAAATTGTTTGGGGTTTGACCAACACATTCTGACCTTTTGTGTCGGAAGTGCACCATGATGATTCTATCTGGATTACGGACTGATACAGTGTTGGGTAGTATTGTTGGAGCTGGCTGGATTTGGCATATCGTTGCAGGAATCAGAGACATGGAAAGACATGCAAGAAGCCTAATTGTTTAGGTTTTGACCAATGCTTGACCAACGTATCCCGGAAAGTCATGACATGCATGCAGTGGATCATGCTAAGGTCTGCCAGGATGGTTGACTGATGGTTAAGTGTGTTAGATAATGGTGACTGAGGATAGACATAACACATCTAAAAGTATTCAAGAAGGGCCCTTATTCAACCAGTCCACCTCTCATTGTTGACTTACAAAAAGCACAAAAACCATAAAATTTACAAGGGGGTATGTAAGTAATAATTATCTGGATTTATAAAGCATTTAATACGAAATACCGTCTCTAAGCGATGTGCACCATCTCCACTTTTTGGGAAGTATTCCTACCACATGGTCTTCGTCATGGTATATGACTATTACTGACGCAAAGGCTTTTGTCAATCTACCAGATCCCCTTTCCTCCCCTGGGTTAGAGTGGCAAATGTAGATTAAAACCTTGCCACAGGATATTAGTGCTGTGTCAGGGGTCACACCCACTAACTTTGCATCTTACGTCCATTTTGACACCTCTATATGGTCTTACCAAAGCTCGTTCTAAATTTGCCACAAAAACCCAGCTCAAATAAGCCAAAGCAAACTGAAACTCATTTTACAAGCAAGTAGAATGAAAGAAAGAGTAGTTGCATCCATCAATGCTAAAATGATTACTCATCTGTTCATTATCAGAGATAGAAATGCAAAGTGCGCTATGCTCATGTCACTTAATTTTTGCCAAAGCGATTTTTGTTTTAGGTGGTTTCCCATGTCATGTCTGGGCCTGTCTTCAAATTGATTGATTAACCTTTGAACCCTAATAGACTCATGGAGATGAGGATACTTATTGGTAAAGGTTTATCAACCGTCAACATTGCAGGTTATTATGCACATGTAGTTTTAATGAGAATGTGTGGTAAGAAACTTTGGCAAATCACACTTTCAGTTATGTGTCTATTGGAATACCAAATTTTGTGGCATTAAATTTTTCTTTAATCCAATTCTTAAAGGAAACCAAAACCTTCATACTAAGTTACTTTTATTGTAATGTTTAAAAGATTTGAATAAAATCAGTGAAAATTTGAACAAAATCGGGCAAGGAATAAGAAAGTTAGAGGTTTTTGAAATGACTCGTCACTAGAGGGCGGTATTCAATTTGATGACATCATCTGTGAACAACTCTCCATGCCTTTTGTACATAAAATTTCACAATTTTGTTGTTTTCTTCGTATTTATTTGTGCTCTAGATCCGACTTCATAACATGTGAAGTAGAATATCATTTTGCATTCTATATCTTGCTTTCAGGGGAGTACATTATCTCAATCACAAGAAAGAAGGAAAAACATGAAATTCGATGTACAAAAGGCATGGAGAGTTGTCCACAGATGATGTCATCAAATTGAATACCGCCCTCTAGTGACTAGTAATTTCAAAAAGCTCTTATTTCCTTATTCCTTGCCCGATTATCAAATTTTCACTGATATTTTTCAAAAATCTTAAACTTTACAATAAAAGTAACTTAGTATGAAGGTTTTGGTTTCCTTTAACTAATAGAAAAAAATGGTCGCTACCAAATCCATGCCAGTGAAAATAACCGGTATTACAATAGTCAGAATATATACTCTAGCACCACTGGCAGGTCACATGACTTGTCATTAGCCAATCAGATGTAGTTTTGAATTCTGTATTAGGAAGCTTGTGTTTTCATTTGCTGCCGGATGATAAGCATCATTTTATTTATACATATGCAAATCATATTCAGTGTAGTTTTGATTAGTTTCAAAAGGATCTTGCATAGTTCCAAGTAATATTTATAATGAATTGCCCTTAATTTATGACTATTAGTACTTGAGGATAAATGTGATTCTTTACAAGAACTTAGCACTATGTTTTTTAAAGCACTTTTTCTAAATAAATCTGCCACTTTGTTATTTTTATCGCTTTACTACGTCCAGCAGCTTTGTATCCCTGATTATATGTTGAAAAGAAATCAGACACGTGATCATTTGTAGCTTCATGCAATATTTGTGTATGTAAGCAGCCATTCTGTTCTTACCTGTACTTGTTAAAGCATATTGTTTTTTAACGATGCCCTTAAAAGAGTCAGCCCCTTTATTTATTATTTTTCATATAATTATGAAATCAGAAAAATTGCCATGAAAGTGACCAAAGAATTTCATAGACCACAAGAGAGAGATATTTTAATCCTTTCCTATATAGTGTAAATACAGTCAAATCTGTCTTAGTGGCAACCTGTCTATAAAGGCTACCTGTCTATAATGGTCACCTCTATTGTCTCTGTGTAGGGCAGAGTATGTGTTGTAGAACCTGTCTATAAAGACCATCCGTCTACAGTTTCTACTTTCCTTGTTTTTCCTTTTTTAAGCAAAATACATGTTGTAGAACCTGTCTACAAAGGCTCTCCGTCTAAGGTGGCCACTCTCACAAATGAGGCAATTAACTGCCTTTGAAAAAATCTGCAGCAAAACAAAAAAGATCTGTTAAAGGTATTACAAAGTTTTGGGAAATTTTGAAAAATGGGTGAATGTGATTCTTTACCAATTTGATAAATTTGGATGCCCCTGTGGATGTATTAAAAACACCAGAAATTTTAGCCCCTAAAACACTTCTGCTTTCGAGAAAAATTGAATATAAATATTTACCGGTGCTCCCGGTAAATTTTGATAAATTTCAAATAGCTCCTACGGCCGTACAATGGTAGCTGCGACCATGAAAATCTCAGAGTATGTAGTTGTGGTATATAATTTCCGAACGAGAATAGCTAATCGGTCGATTTTAGTCAAGAAACATTGTTTCATAGCTAAATTAATATCTTGACCTTGAGAGGGAGCTATACAACATAAAGAGTTCATTATTTATAATTGCTTAACTTTAGACTCGATTTCAACCGCGACAACAATCACTGAATATTGTAGGAACGTATATGCTTCCAATATGTTCATTTGAACCCAATTCATGACCCCATACCAAAACTTTGTAATACCTTTAATGTATTCATTGGTATTCTTCAACCTATCAATGAATTACAAGGGGAGGGGGATAAAAACAGGAGCTTGACATGGCAAAAGGGCTTTTGTGTAGCATGTGATCTTTCTGTGTGTTATGATATCCAAATTAGTGACATACACTCCATATTCGCTGCAGTGTTTTGTAGGCAGTTGTTAGCCGTCATGCTTGAACATGGTTTAATTCTTTATTCTCGGTACGTACTGCAGGGTACATTTCTATTGTCTAGTCCTTGCCATAAAGAAAGAGTTGTGGAGTTTTTGTCTTTTTCTAAAGTGAATTTTGCAGCAGAAAGTATGTTAGTTTTGTAGATGTGGAAGGTATATTTTTCTCATTCCAAATCCTGTGCATGAATTCCATAGAGAAGTGTTATAGCCCCTCTGAAGTGTTGGAAGTCCAAAATTGACCACAAATTTGAAGGCAAAATTTCACTTAAATTGTATCATAATGTGAAAGAAGATGTTATTTAAAGGTAATACAAAGTTTTGGGAAATTTTGAAAATGGGTGGATAGTGATTCTTTACAATTTTGATGTATTTGTATACCCATGTGGATGTAATATAAGCAATAGAAAATTAAGCCCCTAGAACACTTCTGCTTTCGAGAAAAATTGAATATAAAAATTTACCGGTGCTCCCGTTAAATTTTGATATACATTTCAATTAACGTCTACGGCCGTACGATGGTAGCTGCGACCATGAAAATCTCATAATATGTAGTTGTGATATATAATTGCCAAACAGGAATAGCTAATCGGTCGATTTTAGTCAAGAGACATTGTTTTATAGCTTTTATTATAGAGTTTATTATTTACAATTTCATAACTTTAGACTCGATTTCAACCGCGACAATGATCACTGAATATTGTAGGGTCGCATATGCTTCCAATATGTTCATTCGAACCAAATTCATGACCCCATACTAAAACTTTGTATTACCTTTAAGACACACTTCTGCAAAGATCCCCCCCCCCAAAAAAAGAAAAAGTTATGACAAATATTGATAAAAGAATACATAAAAATACTGTTGTACACAGAAAAAAACAATTTTTTATTCTTTCATCAATATTCGACTTCAAACACATTTGTTTTGTAAATCCTTGTAGAAATGTGTTTTAAATGATATTCTCTTTCACATTATGATACAATTTAAGTGAAATTTTGCCACCAAATGTTTGGGCTCTCAACACTTTAGAGGGGCTTTGAAATAAAAATTTGATTATGTAAATGAATAATGGACCAAATAACTAAAGGATTGCAGTCTATTTTTACTTTTCATTTTCCTATCATAATATTAATCCATTCTGTGTAATATGTTTTGTATGTCAAATGCACTTTATCACATACTTCCTCCAAATATTCATTGGTCATAGTCGAAGCAAGATACTTCATTCATGGATGAAAGATATCGATAAAGGTCAAAGGTCACATGTCATATGTGACACATTGTATTGAATTCTCCAGGTGCATAATAGGGGACCAAAACTCCAACAACACAAACGAGGTCGTCTCAAAACCATACCTTAGAAAGACAAATCACAATCCATGTATTTAACAGTACTCCTTAGCTATATAACAATACATTTATTTATGATATACAGGCTCCTGTTTTGACAGAGTACCTTGGAATGCTTTTTCTTTTGTCAACCTGATTTCAGTTTTGTTGATTTGACTGGGGTTTATTTGATAAAATATTTATTGTGCCAAATTCATTTTACAGGGTACTTTCAATTTTTTTGTCTCACGCTAGTTTTTAGCCTATTCTCGGCTACTGCAAAAAGCTGTAATTTTTCTTGCAGATGTGTCAAGTAGGTTCAGAACATTTTTGTCATCAGTATATCCATCTTTTTATTATTTATTTGTAGTTATCCTGTATTATTTAATTGTGTCACAAATGAAGGGAGCAGTTATTAGGTTTTTTTTTCTTTCTCATTCATATCTTATATGCAGTACTTGAACATTTACAAAAAGAGTGGATGAAGAAAGCATTGCCAATAATACAGTCATGATAGTCAGTTTGTTAGCTTAACAATTTTTATTTGTGCACAAAAACATTAAGTGAGAAAATATGGTGTATTGATATGTAGAAAAAAAGAACACATTGTAGGGAAAATATTTCTTCTTTTAGACCCTTCTATTCTCCTTCTCCTCCTGATAAAAAAGAAAGAAAACGTAATTATCAGGGAAAATTTCACTTGAACGAAAATGGAGCCATGTCGGATATATTCTTTTCTCAATCTTTTTTGCTATCTTTTGTATGAATTGTAAAATGTTCTGCAACAACTTTTCTTTATGCGTCACATATACATGTACACAACAACTTTTCTTAATGAAATTCCCATCGAACATCGTACGGTTATGTTTCTACTTGCATTTTATTACATTTATATGATAAGAGCTCAAGTCAAATTATGTTACCTTTGTTATAGCATGGTTGACTGTTGCAGAATTTATTTTTAAATGCCAGTTTTCCTCTTTTAATATTGTAAATGAACTTGTACATAAAAAAAAAGATATCGTTAATAGTACTGTCGCTGACTCAATTTGTTATTTCGTACAAAATGAAATGTAAAGTGATGATGTTAAATAAATACAGCATCACAGCACTATAAGATGACTTGACTGTTGTCATAACTTGATTGTTTAATATTTACATTCAAAGAAAGGTAGAAAGAAAGTGCGAGAGAGGGAGAGAGAGAGAGAGAGAGAGAGAAAGAGAGAGGCGTCGTTAGCCTCCATTACCAGATACTTTACTGATATTGCTTCCTCTGTCCATAAAACCCCTCCCCAATGCCTGAAGTACAAAATAGAGTTTAAAAGTTGAATGATATTACGAAATCCTTCTGTTTGATCCGAGTATTTCATAAATAGTTAACAGTAGAATACCACATGTACCCTGGTTCATAGAATAAGATGATAATGAATACCGCTACAATGATAATTTATGTCATCTTTGAAGGATTTTTACATAATTATGATATGCAAGGCGACTGTGTGCATGTACACAGCTCAAATTACATACATACATACATATTAATATTTATATAGCGCCTTTACAAAAACATGCTCAAAGCGCTTTACATTTTAAAATAAAAACAGAATAATTATATGCTCTCCAAGTGCATAACACTCTAAAAAAACAATTACAAAGAAAACAAATGAGTTTTTAGATTTCTCTTAAATGATGCGACTGAGGTGGAGGAACGAATGCTTAATGGTAGACTATTCCAAATAGTGGGACCAGAAAACAAAAATTGTTGACCCTTCTTCGAATTACACTTTTTACACTTTTTACAAATTACACTTGTTCAACGAATGATATATAATCGCTTCAATTACTAGATTCAAATTCATGGGAAATTATATCAAACCCTTGAAATCTGTATAATTTAGCATTAGTGAAGTTTGGAACATTTCCCAATGTTTTCTTTCAAACTGTTTTAGAAAGATTGATGCACTCTAGGCCTACAGATTAAGGACTATGTTATTATAATATTGCCTATAATACATCGTGGTTCGAATGATAAAATATGTACAATGTAAATTACTGAAGTCAATTAAATTTCATCTACGCTTTTGTAAAGTTCATTCGCTATCAAGTTAGTTGGCACTGAATGGAATTCGGTGTTTTGATACATCTCACCACCCCCATCGCCAACCACCGGATCGTTCGTATTATCAGCACGGGAAGTAGGCGGGGTCGCTGCACCGTAGAGTTCGTTGTCGATCATTGCGTCTTCTTCCACATAAGTTTCATAGACGTTCCCGTCTGGGTTTTCATAAACGGGGTCCTTTCCTTCATCAACCACCGCACCGAGCTTGTGAACACGAGGAGCTATCGGGGATGGAGCACCGTAAAGCTCGTTGTCGATCAATATTTCGTCATCTGTAAACTCTGTATATACGTTTTCATCAGGGTTTTCATAAACGTCATTCCCTTTATCATCCAACGTTTCGAGCTTGTAACCTGGAGTTGTCCGGGATGGTGCATTATAAAGCTCGTTGTCAACCACAATCTCTTTATCTTCATAACCTTCATAACCGTCCTCATCAGTTTCGGGAGCACCGCTCGTGGGATTACCAAGTTTTGGAATTTGTTCATCACTTGTTCCATATAAAACATTATCCACGAAACCAACCCCGGTATCAGTTTCATTCCAACCATTTGAATCTTTGATGACAAAAATCCCAAATCCGTCATTTTGATCGATGTCTGCTTCAAGTGTTAGACAACATGGTTCGCCAGGAGTACTGTCTGCTTCAACTGTTAGATAATATGGTTCGCCAGGAGAACTGTCTGCTGGTTTGCTATCTTCGTAGCAGTTTGCAACCGTGGCATAGTTATCCATTTCATTTTCATTATCGGGTAGGACAGGTTTAGCCGCACGACGCCTGTAGGAAAATCATTAACAAAGTGTACACAGTAAATACTTCAAGGTTAATTAAATCAACATTCGGAAGCTCCGATCTATAGGAGTGAACTTTTCAAAAGGGTGGATTAATACTTTTAACATGTTTGATCCAGCTCTTACATTGTTATGTTTTATTAATTACTCTTGGTTACAGGGGGGAGGGGGGGGGGGGGAGTCATCCAGTAGACTGCTGGATAATATAAAAGGAGTTGGGAATGATTCGTTAAATCCATGACAACTGGCACAAAGGTTTGTTTTATTTACTCAAAAGTCTTGGATAAAGAGCGTAGACTTGATTTAATTTGAAGAATTTCTACAGAAGAACAAAATACCGCCGAAGCATGGAATCTTCATAATTATTTTTATTGAAAGTGTTTGTGTCTGGTAAGAATCATTAGAGGTGCCTGTGTTGAAATACATTTTATCTATATTAGATAACTCTGGTCCCTGGATAAAGGGGTTCACTGTATTTTATTGATCTCCTCTTAAATTTAGAAATATTGAATGATGATGAATTTGGGGCAAAAGAAAGTAAAGTGGCGTTAATGTGTACTAATAATAATAACTAATAATAAACTAAGAAAAAAAATATATACATATATATACCTTCTGAATAGGATGAGGGTAACAACGATTACCACTAAGATGAAAAGGATGGTCACCAAGCTTCCACCTGCAATAGCTTTCAAGAGGTATGATATAAGGATATTTATATGTTTATTTATATATAAATATATATTTTTATATTTGACACAATATATATTTTTGCCATTAAAAATTATTTCCTATTGAAACCTGCAAAATTGTAGGCCGTCTTAAATAAGGAAAATCTGCCTAATTAGACTACATAATATAGTCTCCATTGTGTTGGGAGGTCTTCATGTACAGTATCACTATACTTTATAAGAAGGATTGTTTTTGTAATAACTATTTCACTATCATCCGTTATAAACGTCGAATCGTTATATACATCTTCAATACATTATTTTACTTACATTCTATATTTTTACCTTCGTCAGGAAGAACTGCCATAAACAAGTTTGTTCTTTTCTCCTCTGGCGGCCAAATAATGCACTCAATAGATCATGGTGGATTGCTGCATGTATGAATGCTTGTATCTTTGATCTTCTCAAAATTTATTTTAAACAACTTTTTGTTCATTTGATATGTATCATTCATGGGAAGTGTTTCATATAGACCAAGATCGACTTTAAGTTGGACTGAACTATGGCAGGCCGTTCATGCCAATATTTGCTTTCACCATTATGATCTTTTCCTTCAATAATGAATTATCACGTAACAGCTGCACTGCTAAAGCCAGTGTAATTATGCTGCATTATTGTAGAGCGCTTAGAGACTTCTGACAAAGTAAGTGTTAGGCACTATATAAGCACTGTAATTATTATTATTATTATTATTATCACAAAATGTAAATTCTGTTGATTTGTGACCATGAATCTGTACGTCCCTTGAAAGACCAATGCCAGTAAATGATGAGAGCAAACGGTGGCATGAACGGCCTGACATAGTTAAGTCCAACTTAAAGTCTATCTCAGTCTTTGTAGAACACCAATGAACAGATAATGATTAATGATCAACATAATGAAGATGATAACTGTCTGATAATCGCGAGGCTACTCACCTCCGGTAGGTGACGATTCTCCCTTTAAACTTTCTAAGATGAAGAAAAAGACAATGGCATTACATCATTAAAAGTGAGAAATCTGAGAAACAAAGGTCATTTAATAATGCATATTTATTGTAAAAACTTGTAAAAACTAGAAACATCGGCAACATGAACTAGACACACTGCGGAAGCGACTTTCGCGGCAACAACCTTTGGTGAATTGCAAAAGTTCGTTGTTGTTTCAGCATGGTAAGTTATCATTTCGTATATCAACCACAGCTATTTAAAACCGGCAATAATTGTTTAAACATGTCACCAGTTGCGGGTTGTCAATATCAGTGAGGGACTAGGGGTGGGAACTTTGTCGTCCAACCTGGGTAGCTCTTTAGAGCTGGCTAAATCTGCAGCAAACAGTCAACCATAGTCAGCTTTAGCTCTCAGCATGGTCAGTTGCGATTCAATCATTTCGCGTCATTCGTGAATGTGAAACAATCCGAAAATTCTTGAACATTTCATGCCCGCAAGGTTTTTAGGTTTACTGAAGGTTTATTTTTAACGGTAAGCAAACATAAATATCAAAGTGCAATTCAAAACCTACGATTTTAGGAAGCATTATCTTTTTGCGTTAAAAAAATCTTTTATTACAAATCAAAATGTGGAATTATTTTACATTCGAAAACCTCAGATGTTACTATACTACATTTTAAGAAGGGCCAAGGTGTCGCATTTTCAAACTGGTAAATGAACTCTTTTAACATGCTACATTCAGCCTTTATACTGTTGGATCTAACATGCTACAAGTGTAATCTATATATTATTTTTGGAGAGTTGACACTCATTGGTCCTTTTAAACGTCGATTAAATATGTTGGGCTTTTAGAGTGGTAGGGTAGAAATATGACCACGATGCCATAGGCAAGTACTTCTAGATTAAGTTTAATCACATATACTTAATGTTGATTCATGATAGAATTTAAAATGCAACTGGCAAAGCAAGATTTGTCTAACAGTGGATGTGGGATGAAGGTAGGGGTATGAGGAAGGGTTTATGACTTCGAAGTTAGTGGATGACTATTTTTAATTTAAACCGAGGAAAGGAGGCGGGGCAGGGTCACCCCCTGTCATCCAAGGCTACGCTATGTCAATAGCTCTATAAATACATTCAAACCTGTTGATTTCGGAGAAAGCCACGTAGTAAGTGCTACTGATGTTAATAGCGATGTTGGTAAATATGCCGTCGTTGTTAATGACATTTCTAAAGCAATGAAAGAGAAGATACGTAAGATTACCAATATAAGTTAAGATGTTAGTATCAAAATCAGATTTGACATTTCTTTCTAGAACACTCCATGAAGAAATCGTTTACATGTACTTTTATCATGCATACAAGAAGTAAAATTATCGGGGGAAATTCTAAATGACATTTTCCCAATAATTACAGGGCATTATCGAAAAGAAGTTAATTGTCAGCTATCAAGGATCATCCTTTCATATGATGGGGACACCTCGTAAGGCTATCTAGAAACGCAGAATGTGGAGCAACAGAATATAACATGCTGAAACCTATCGCTCAAGACTGAGGTACTTGGAAAGACATATGTAGATACTTGCTAAAATTCAATTAAATATACTCATGCTTGGTACGTAACTCAAATTAAGAAAATGTTTCAGGGGTTCCATGTAAATACGCATAATTATAAGCCCTAGGATTAAATCATGCAAAACATTATCGAAAATCAACGAAGACGATCTCATAAACACCGTTCAACACCTTATGAAACGTGCAATGGGTTGATTTTGAAGGCTCACTTCGAATCATCGGATCATCGCGTTCGGTCGGGTGGTCGCGTGTCGACCTTTCATGAAACGAAAACGAGTCAGGCGACCTTTCGTAGATTTTAATAAATTGTCAGATAAATTGGACCAGATCATTTGTAGATGAGAGGGTTTATTTTACAAACATCACCCCCGAAATTTCGGGTATAAAGGGGCATGTTTTCACAAAAGTTTGGGTAACGCGACCATCCGACTCAACAGGATGCCCCGATGATTCGAAATAAGCCATTATGAAAGTCTTTGCGGTCGTGTTTCAAACAAATTAATATCTTAATCCAACCTGTTTGTGATTCTGTGCTTTGTGCAGAAGCTTGCGTAGTAAAGGTGAATGATGTCGTAAGCCTTATCTCTGGAAGAATGAAAATCAATGTTAACTTTTAGTTCAACATGAAAAAAGTCATTAAATAGTAGGTGGGCTAGAGTGGCAAAGAAAAAAAAAACATGATAACGAAAGCTGAGAAAATATAGATGGTAACTGTTTGATGGTAACTGGATGATGTTAGTAAAGTTACAAATGTAGTTGCGGTGCTTGTATTGTGGCAAGAAACGCCCTGGAAAAAATATTTGAGGAAAATTGAGGAAAGTACAGTGAATTAATCAAGATAGAGTGGGGTCGGTGCATGCCCTTCCATTTAATCTTTAAATACCGCTTAAATAAATTGAGCATGCAGAGGCACTATGGCACATGAATTTCGCCTCCAGTACCAAAGTTACAAATTCTGAAGAATGATAATAAATGAAGTGCATTGTTGCAACTAGCCTTTGAAGGAACCGGCGTAACCCTTTGATCATTGAAGCCCTAATCCCTGAAATAAAAACGTTCTAGGTACCTGTTTGTCGTGCCTGACTTATGTACAAAATATGGATTAACACACGTGTTATTTTCTGGTCCCTTTGACCAGCTTTTATCATATCAGAGGTGTCGTGGCAAAGTGGTTCATCCACTTGACTCTCAATTCATGGGTTGAGTGTTCGAATCCCAGTCCAGCACCAATGTCCTCTGGCAGAACATCAAACCACATTTGCTTCCCTCCATACAGGAGTAAATGGGTACCTGCAAATAGCTGGGTATGAGGAATTTCGGGCCCCCAGCTAGAATAGTAGGCCTATTAATACTGATGTGGCTACCCTGGGGATATAAGACCAACATTTAAGTATGCAAATGTGTGTTTCCATCCGGTATTGTTATGACACATTTTGTACACATGTAGTTATTGTTGTTGGCAAACCAATTAATCATTCAATCATGGTCTTACCTTCACTGCACGTCGGACCAGTGTAGCCTGGTGTACATGTACAGCTGAATGGCGATTCATCAACGTCTAAGCAAGTACCGCCATTCACACAGGGATTGCTGTTACACAGGCTGAAATCTGGGAAGACAAAAATGATTACGTAGCACATAATCAGTCAACAAATTCTTTTCAATGATTTTGGTTAGGAAATACAAACAACATTAAACTATACCACAATAATTCACGAGTTGAAACAGCAAACTTGGACGCATTTGTAGTGATCACGTATTGTCTTTGGAATCACTCATCCAGAAAGTAGAAAATAACATTACAAAGAAAAGAGAAATTTTCCATAGACTCTATGTCCTGTTTCATAAGCATAAATGTGTATTGAGGATCCATTGAGGGTCTTGAATACCCCCCCCCCCAACGGAACGAAATATCGATCGGCCAAATTTTCGGGACCAAAACTAAAAATGTACTCTTACCCCCCCCCCCGCTTATTCAGCGGCTGGCTGAGTCGTTGCGAAAAAAAAAAATTGGCGCGATTTTCACATTTTTAACCCCCCCCCCTTCGAAAATCCTGCGTACGCGCCTGGAGAAGTGTTAAGGTAACTTGGTAAAATCGTTGTAAGTTGATGAAAAAATTGCATAATTTTCGTACGAAATGTTACTTATTATATTCCTTCTACTGTACTAACTCTCTGACATGCAAAAAATCCTGAACAAATTCTCAAACCACGGAGATATCTATGGTTTTCTTTGAAGGCGTCACTGGTCAACACTCTCTAACAGTGATTTACAGTAAGTTCTCCAAACCTTTTTTTAATTTTCCCAACCGTTTTCTTCATGAAAAAACAAAAACAAAACAAGCTATTACAAATCTGTCAACACTTAAATGTCTGGAAGGGTATGTAGAGTCAATTCATTGCTTTATGACAATTAACATTCACCCAATATGTAATTAAATTGTAATAATATAGTTGGGAGAATTAAGGAATCGATCAGATCAGTTTTTCCCAATGTGTATCATTAATAGTGATCCGTTTTCACTCAAATTGTCAGATTATCTTTAATTGTACATCTAGCATTGTAGTCACTACCTAAACACCATTATCTCTTATTTTTTTACAATGTTATCAAGTCCCTTTAAGTTATCCTAGCATGAATTTTATACAAAATAGGGTATTGAAATTATCCTTGAGTGTATTCCTCGGAAGTCTTTGCAATCATCATCAATATTATATCTTACCTTCATCACACGTTGGACCAGTGTAGCTTGAAGGACATGTACATGTGAACGATGCTCCGTTCATGGTGCATGTTCCTCCATTATCACATGGGTTACTGTAACAAGGGCTAGGTGCTGGGAATAAAAAAAAAAAAAGATTTACTATAAATATCAAATGCAAGAGGGGACATTGACAACTCTAATCAGTAGCCTCCATTCGAATCTACAATCATCGTGATCATATGGAGAGAAGCTTAATTTTGTTTTAAAGTCTTATAACAATGTTGCAACAGTTTCGCACCTAGAAACACAGTATCATGCGCTTTTAAAATTTAACTTATTATTACTATTATTATAATTATTGGTCAATGCCACATCTCTCACAGAGGACTTAAAGCCGTCTGTCACTTGGTTGGTTACTTAAAAGCAGGTGTATGCTATCTTAGCAGTCATGTAAAACAAAGCAATGAACCAATCGTCGTCAATATTAATGTGTATACATGTATTATATCTTACCTTCATTACACGCTGGACCAGTGTAGCTTAAAGGGCATGTACATGTGAATGATGATCCGTTCACGGTGCATGTCCCTCCATTATCACAGGGGTTACTGTAACACGGGCTGAGTTCTGGGAGTAGAAAACAATATTATTCGTATTATTATCATTATTATTATTATTAGGTAAATACCAAATATCTCGGAGTGGACTTAAATACATCGGTCACTTTTTCCTTACTTACAAGCAGACGTATGCTACCTTAGCAGTCATGTAAAATAAATCAACAAACCATTCTACCTGCCTTCCACACAGGGCTCTCTAACAAAGCATTTTAGATGTTGTGAATAGACTATTGTGACTACTGTATACAGAACTCAGAATAATTAAGTGTATAAATATAACAAAATTAATTAATAAATAAGTTAATAACTAAATAACTAAATAAATAAATGATAGATAAATATTCAATTAAATAAATAAATATCATCTTACCTGAACAAGTAAAGTTAGGGGGACTCCATGTGCCTGTATGCTGACAGAAGCTGATTGGTTCATTATCAGGAATATAATCATCTTGACAGGTGTATAGAGCTATATCTTGATACGCTGATCCTAGTATCATGTTGGATGCAAGGGCGACGTCTGGTGGGCTTCCCTCACACTCGACAGCTATTCAGGAAAACAGGAGAGACTAGATAAATATCATGTCCTTGTCTATTGTTCATTAAGGGATGCTAATGTTTCTCTTGACATCCAAACAAAGTGTTGGTACAATTAAAATAAAATAAAAATTAGTTTATTTATCACTATAACTCTAACATGAGCAAACCTTATTGTAATCCTTCATGAAAATAATTATATTAACGGTAATAATGTTGATTAAATTCTACGACGTCTATCTTCATGAATTCTGAATCAAACAGATTTTCAGCCGCATATTACTGAAGTTTGATAGTTGTCATTACGCTAGCATTTAAACCCCTGTCTTAAAGCATGGCTACAAATAGAGAATGTTTATGAAATACGGAATATCACCTGCAAACGTTAAAACGATACCTCTCATGCGTTTTGAGGAACAAAATATGGTATTGTATACTTCATTCCCCTTAAATTTTATTTCATTTGTTGAGGCTTCGGATATCAACCTGGCATAATTGTCCTTTGGCAAGACCGTACTCCACATTTGCAAACATGCAGCCAGGTGTAAATAGGCTCTTAGCAATTACTGGGTAATATTATTTCAAGGACCTACAGGAACATGAGTGAAAGCACTGTTGATGCTGATGTGGCTACTCTATGGGTAAATAAGATTAAATTAGTATTTATTAGCAATCACTTTACCTTCACACGATGGTCTTTGATGATTCCATGCTCCATTATTCATACACCTTAAAACACTTTCTCCAGATAATGTATAGCCCTCCTGACAGGTGAAATGAAGAGTGGCATCGACAGAGTAGGTCGTTCTATCGTCTGGTAAACGATTACCATGCAAAGGTTCACCTGGGTCACCGCATGCAGGAATTCCTGAAAACATGGAATAAATTTAAAAATGTCCCTAGAATTCCTGTCCATTCATCAGTTTGACAAAGATAACGTTAGATAATAAGTGCCACTAGAATTAGGTTGCATTTAAACTGCAGTTTAAAGTTCCAGTGAGACAAACACCAACCCGATAATGGAGCGAACAAAAGTTGAATTATCTTGAATGACCAATGTAGTCGGTCGATTTGGAGTCGATAAGGAGCCAGTTTGTCGTTTTAAGTTTTATGACAAACAGGCTTTATGTAATGCTTTGCATTTTACACCCATTCCCCCTATTATAAAGTCATTATTTTACGTTTCCCTCACCCGGAGACTATCCGAGAGAGATGGGGTGGGGTGGGGTGGTATGTCTTGATGAGACTACGGGTTTTCTGTGTGCAGACTTGTACATCCATTAGTGGAATTTCCACGAAATCTGGTGTCAGCGAATTATGGCCTTCTGTACATGGAAACTGACGACCCTCTCCCGTTAAATGATAATCATATTTAATAATTCAAACAGTGATCGGTAGGAAAAGCTAGGATCATCCTAAACGCAAATTTTACACATTATCTTTTCGAACACCTTGAATGTTTGTTATCACACCTTGAAATTTGGGTGTTAACAGTGAAACTTAGTTAACAGTCTCTAACTAATAATTATCATGATTACATGTTTGAAATAAACTTCCATCATGTTATCCAAAAAGATTGCACATGCATATTGATTTAACCATGGTAACAAAATTGATAGTCATAATAAAGACGGTTTTGTTACCTATAATTTACTAACCTATTTGACATAACGTCCGTCTTGTACCTCCACAACGTGAATCATCCCACATGTAGTTCTGGTTCTTCCTCATTTCTACACAGTGACGATTGTCGTCATTAGGTCTGTCCGCGCGCCATGCCTCATAGATGACTCGAGTTTCTAAAGACGGTAAAGCAGATGAATATATTACACATGTAAACAGTATTATACTAATCAGTAACAAGCCAATTCATGTGGATAAAACATGCATCTGAATTCGTTGTCTTCTTTGAAAATAATGTCACATTATTAGAGTCACGCACAGTATATACATAATGATTATCATATCGCAGTTTTCAATAACTTGATAATATCCCAAGCAAATCCTTGAACTAATTTTGTTTGATATCCCTCGAAATTTGAAAAGTAATTGTTATTTTGGAGAGAGAAAAAGATATGCTAACAACAAATAGATATGGCTTATTCAGATAACAAAATAATATAAACCAGTTTCAATTTGGTTTTTAATCTATCATCGATATGTGTGCTTGATAGAAAGTGATAAGTTAACAAAAACAAATCTTTCGTTCACAAGCTTTGATCCCTAATACTGCTCAAAGTCTGACTTATATAGTATCGAGGACACAGTTGTTTATGATGACTTACTATCAGACCAATACCAGGACCGTCCATCGTCTTCGTCATAACCACCGATCCACCAGGCCGTATTTACGCCTTTGTCTCTCAGATACAGGGCTCGGTCCAGCAATAAAGCATTAGTGCTCTCATCGAGTATTTCAGCCATAGATCCTCCTCTCCCATTACACTCTTCGGCCCCGTCATCACAGTTCCTCGAAACATCCAGGAATTGGAAACAGGTGTCCATGTATTCTAGTACCATGTCAGATTGATTAAGTCCAACTCTCTGGCAAGATCGATCTAAAGATTACACAAACATGATTCGACAGTTGCATGAACTATCTTTCTAGAAAAAACAGACTTTAACAAATAATAAATCATGAACAAAATGAGTTGCTCTAACACATAAAAGAGTTGCCAATTAATTATCAGCGATTGATGATTCTAATCTGTGTCTTTGGGATACATAAATGCTTTTACTCAAATTTCATTTCGGCCGGGATCTGCACACATTGGAAACATAATGCTTTTTAATACGGCATACATACGAACGAAATGTAAAGTTTCATAACAGTTTTTCTGTGTCTATGAATTGGAAAATATCACAGGGTCGTTGTCAGGGCTCAAATTATTTTTTTGTCCACGGGGGCTCTTCCAATAAAAAAGAGCCCCGTGAGCCTTCTCGCGATTTTTTGGGTGCTATTTTGAACCTCCGTTAGTGATGTTTTCCTGGCATCTACTGACATCTACTAATACTTTGTAGGTCTGGCACATGATAGCATTTTTCTATGCACATCACATTTTCATTTGGCAGTCCAAGGGGGGAGGGGGAGGGTTAAACCCCCTAAACCGCCTAGATCCGCCCCAGCAACATCTTTAGTGATCTTCTTCTCAATATTGATTTACTGGTCGAGTTACATTATTTGCTGGTCTTTTAGAATAACCAGATTTCAGAGGATTGACACTTTCACAACGAAAAACTTCTCCATGTTTCAGTCCTTGCACGATCGTCTCCAGCTCCAGCAGATATTGAGCGTCAGCGTGCACACTGATACTACCGGCGCCGTATAGCCAATGCTGACGGCCGTACTAGCTGCACTGCGAGCTTTCGTTGTTTGTATCGGTAATACTCATAGAGATGAGAGAGAAAGCGCCATTTAAGTTCCATTTCATTGGTTTAAGGTTTGAAAATTGATACTCAATATTGTGTTAGAGTTATATCAGAAAAGATAATCTTTATTTTATAATTCCACTGGGGCGATTTTTAATTTTGCAATCGCCCGCGTGAGCAACCTGACGGGGGCGATTATGGAGCTCACGGGGGCGAATTGCCCATCGCCCCTGTGTATTTTGAGCGCTGGGACTCGTTGTATAAAATCAAGTTATTTATCTTCCAATGTCGAGTATTGTTTTTTTTATATACCTCTCTTTAGAAATCTAGCCATCTGATTGGTCGAAATTGCAGTCGTGATTTTATCCATTCTCCCGTAAAGAGACGGACAATAGTCAATAGTTCATGAGTGATATTCCCGCGAGATTCCGGGTACCAAGAAAATAGTTAAATTTTGCTGCGATCCCCGTTCATGAGTGATATTCTAGCAAGATCCCGGGTGCCAGGACAATGGTTGCGATCCCCTGTGCGCAGCGAGCGCGGCTACTATACAATTTTTGTGCGATTAATTTGGTCGCTACAAAAACAATACAGACGACCACCGATCTCGGTTGTAGGCCTAGATCTACATGTAATGACGAGATGTCGCCCCTTTGGAAATATGGAGATAAACCTCCTCTTTCATATGACACCTCTTTTTTGTATCACCTTTAGGCAGGGGCGTCGCTAGACCTTTTTCAGTGGGGGGGGGGGGGGGGGGGGGTAGAGGCCACCGATTACCGACAAAACTAGCCACCAATTACCGACAAATAAATTAATGCCTATGTCCCAATGTCTACAAATTTAACCCTATGAACCCGGGGTCACGAGCTAATTTTTTTTCATTTCCCCCCTCGCGGAAGCTTTGACATTTCATTAAATTATTAGATAAAGAAGATGATTCGATGAACCGTTCCCGACTCTTAATTCTTGTTTCGCACCTCCTACTCGTAATCCTTGTCTGGTTTCAGTTTGCCCCCTCTCGCGCGAAGCGCGGAAGCTTTGACGTTTCGTTAAATTATTACTCTTAATACTTGCCTAAATTCAGTTCCCCCCCCCCTCCTGTGCGAAACGCAGAAGCTTTGACGTTTCATTAAATTATTAGAGAAAGAAGACGATTCGTTGTACTGTTTTCAAATCTTAATCCTTGTCAGAATTCAGTCCCCTCCCCCCTCCCGCGCGAAGCACGGAAGCTTTCACATTTAATCAAATTATTAGAGAAAGAAGACGATTCTTTGTACCGTTTTCGACTCTGAATCCTAGTCTGATTTCAGTTTCCCCTCTTCCGCGCGAAGCGCGGAAGATTTAACGTTTCATTTCTGTTTGCCCCCTCTCGCGCGAAGCTTTGACGTATCATTGAATTATTACTCTTAATCCTTGCCTAAATTCATTCCCCCCTCCCTCCCGCGCGAAGCGCAGAAGCATTGACATTTCATTCAATTATTAGAGTAAGACGATTCGTTGTACCGTTCTCGACTCTTAATCCTTGAATGAATTCAGTTTCCCCTCTCCCGCGCGAAGCGCGAAAGCTTTGACGTTTCATTAAATTATAAAAGAAAGAAGACGAAATGTTGTACTGTTTTCGACTCTTAATCCATGTCTCAGTGAATTCAGTTCCCCCTTTCCGCGCGACACGCGAGAAGACGATTCGTTGTACAGTCAACTCCTTAATCATTGTCTGAATTTCAAAAATGTTTAATTGTCTGATAAAAAGTCACAGTTCGTAGAGGACAAAACTTGCCGGCCGATCGACATAATACATGTCACCGACTTCAAACCTCTGCATTGATATAGTACACGAGGATCGAGCAAGAATACCGACACAGCGGACCCGACACAGCAACATATTTATCTATGCGTATCTTTCTTGCGCCCTCGACGTGGCGACTCCTCCCAACATCCCCCTTTCTCTCTTACCCCGTCTCTCTCTCTCCTCTCTGTCATCCCCTGTTTCTTTTATTTCCTTTTCTCCTTTTTCTCCTTTTTTCCCCTTTTCTCCTTTCTTTCCTCTTCTTCCTCTTTTTCTTTTATCTCCTTCTTTCTTCTCTTCTCTTTCCTTTCCTTTCTTTTCCTTTTTTTCCTTTCCCTTTCCCTCTTATTTCCCCCTCCCCCTTTTCTCATTTTTTCCGACAGCAGCGCAATTTTACCGTCAAAATCCTGACAGGTGGGGGGGGGGGGGGCACCCCCACAACTCCCCATCCCCTTCAGCGACGCCCCTGCCTTCAGGATTACAAGCAATTAAAGGTTTGAATCTCGCTTTGGAAATAAAAACATTGACTCATTTTGCAGGATCGCGCAATGCAGGACTGCATAGGGATGCGTGCAATCTCAATGGGAAGGATTTTAAAACACAAAAATCGAATTGAGCCTATAAAACAACTATTCCTCTTATAGCAGTCATTATATCTATACTATTCAACACTCGTAATTGGAATATCTGTAGTTAAATAAAATTTAGTAACGATTTCATATTCGTAATGTTTACTGGAACGATGGACATTTAGGTAACGCCTCACTCTCTCGTCCGCTCAACTTGTTGTATTCAAGACTCCTTTCAAATCTCCGAGATATTAATAAATTGTAGGCCTAAGTAAAAGTAATACGAAAAAGGTACGATTCCAAATTTGCGAGAGGTAAGGAATCGCGAAAATTCCATCCAGCGAAAGTACTGAATCACAACAACTTGAGTGCCGGAAATCGTAAGGGTAAATTTCATGCCGCGAGAACGGAGGTCATTAACAAAAGTGATTACTTCCGAGCCGAAGTTGCCTATACTCACCATATTGGCATAACACACCAATCTCGTCTCCTGGTGACCCAGGACTCCATGCAAATTCACCTAAATCATTCTGATTTGATAACTCGATGCAATCTCCCGAGCTTGAATCAGGGTATGCTATCTGCCAAAAGAAGCGATCGATGTATTCGTCACCTGATTAATAAATATGGATAACCACTGTCAGAAATCTTATAAGCTGACGTTAAAAAGCCATTTTTCTCAGTTCTCATGCTCATGACATAATCAGGTATAAAATTACAATGCATAGATATCCGCTCATTTACTCTTGATGAACGAGCTTGTGTCATATACCATACACAGGTTTACACGAACACAATTACCCCCAAAACATGCCAAAGGTACTGACGTTGCTAAGCCGAATACCAACTGTCCATTTTCTAAAATTTGAAAATGAAAAAGAAGTTCTTAAACGCGAACTTGCCGAAATTATTTATGTCTTGATGAAATCTTTTCCCCTTATTTATGTATTACGCATACGTAACCAT